TTTGTAGTAAATATTTTGTTTTAGCACCCTCTCTCGGACACAAACCATCACTGCTGGTGTTTACTCTCACAGGGCTTGGCTAAAGCTGGAAAGCATTTGCAACAGGAAAAGTGCTCAGCTGCACTCACAGATACAGCTTAGCTATGTATTTTTGTATTCTATAAATTAACATAAGTAGAATTTTCTCATCCCTCTTAGACTTATCATCTTTATACAAATAGTCTGTCCTGTTCATTTAAGCCAGCCAAGAAGTGGGAAAAGCATGAGGGCTCCAAAGCAAATACTGAAGGTGAGCTGTTACAAAAGACCATAAGCTCCTCGCTGCCTGCATGTCTCCTGTGAGGAGCCTGCTGGCGTTACCTGCTGGGAATTGAGGATGAACCTCAATTTTCTCTCTTACAGTCACCAGTGTTTGGTGTTAGGGTAGCTTGTGGAGGTCTCAGTTTGGGACCATGGTCTTGCTATCCACAAGATACATATGTCTACATACAAGAGTTCCCAGTGTCATGAGTAACAGTGTAACACAGAGAGAAAGGGGTGGAAGGAAGGGGTTACTCTGTATGCCCACCCCGGGAAAAGAGAAGTGTATTAATGCCAAAATAAAATCAGCAGTGGGAAGGTCAATAAGTACATTCTGAATAGCAGAAGGGGCTACAATTTGCATTTTCTGCATGAACTGTAACTATCTGCCCGGCTTCTAGAGTACAACTGATAGGCAGTCAAGTTCCTATACATTATTTTGGCTCCAGTAGTTAATATGGTTGCCAGTTACCTTCAGAGATACTATATGTGCCAAGAGAAGGCTTAAAAAATTAGGACACTGTAGAACAAAAACTGCCTGGATTACTTTAACTTGCTCTTCCTGCCCACATTCATTTTACTAAGCCTTATTTGCAATAATAGCCTTCGGCAACACTCCCACTTCATCAATGCAGGGTGCAGATGATAATAAACAAACAGGATGCCATGAATGATGCAAGGATCTCGAAAAGGACAAAAAAAAAACAACCAGAAAACAAAAACCAAACCAAAGTTAAGTGGCTGAAATTCTTTTTCAGGACAAGAATAAATGTCTTATATAGAATAATTTCTATGCTATTTACATATAAGTTTTTACAGCTAGTCAATGATTTCATTCTTCCTTCTCCTGTCTCCCTCTAGGTAACCAAGTGTGGGTTTGTTGAAGTGCTCAGCACTTGCAGCAGGACCCGATATCAGCAAAAGCTGTGCTACAAATAAAGGGAGGCATGAGATTTTCCCCACATGCCAGCTCACAAGCAGGCTAGAAGGGGCAATCAACAATCAGTTGACACTTCAAATGTGTCTGTCTGCCTCAGCCCTCTCCAAGGTGAAGGAGGAATAATAAGATCCCTCCCTTTGTCCTGTTATGCAAACACAAACAGTGCTTAACTGGCTGCTGTGAAACAACTGGTTGGTCTAGATGCATCAGCTCACACACCCTGAAAATAAGGTTTGTGCCCTCAGCATCTGTACCCCTTTTCCCTGAGCTAGAGTCTTTATCTCTCTTATTCACAGCACTGTGGGGCCTCGTTGCTTTGAGGAAACGTCAAATGCTGCTGCAGTGAGCCAGCCCGTGGCTTGGAGCACTGTTGGGCAGAGGCCCTCTGAGTGCCCCCTCTCTGCAGTCTGGTGCTGCTGCAGTCCTTCTGCTGCCTGATGGCCTGAGCATCCTCTTTTCCCTGCCCCCAAAATATATCTCGGTGTGTCTGTGGTTGTACACACTGAGAGAAGATGTGGGAAGATCGATCAGTGTTGAGCATCACAGGAAAGAGTGTTCAATGTGGAATATTGATAGTATGCAGGCAGCATGTAAAGAGAGGATGGAGAGAAGGTCATCATGTCATGAGTGGGATTTTTCCATCCTCCTCAGGGAATAGATAAGCTAGATCCAATTTTGTGACTCCGCATCACACATATACACATAAGGAACTGGATATACCAAGATTAGATTTGTGTAAGTAACCTTTTATCTGAACTTCAGTGAATAGAAAACCTCATGTGTCCAACAGTAGTTCTGTTTTCTTTTGTATGATTTTATGGAGTTTTGAAAAATAACCATGTCCACATTGCAGCTCACCTATCCCAAATGCATCACCATGGCTATTGTACAGATTTTTGGCACATTAGCACATGAAATGATACATAGTGGGATAGATGTGTATTTATTTGTGTCATTTAACTTCCATCTGAAGAAAAGTCTTAGGTAAAATACATGTAATATGTTTAGGTTTTTTTCATTCATATGGAGATCTGCATGCATATAAATCTTAACTGACACAAAGTGGCTCAAAAGAAAGCGTTTATTTCATGTATTGGGAAAAATAGAATAACAAAGATTGTGCTGACCGAATAGCTGGAGGAGGAAAAGTTTCTTCTTGTATCTCATGGCTTGGTTACAGTGTAACCCCCAGTTACCTCCCACCTATACATCTATCTCCTAGTGAAGTTCCTTGGCCATTATGCCAGGAAGTCCTTTTCATGTCTATCCTGAGGACAATTTCAGTAGTTCACCTATACTGGCATTCAGCAGTCTCAGGCAAGAGATTAGAGGGAAAGTCTAATGGAACAAGGAAGAATTATCCCCAGTGGAGGAGGACTAGGTTAGGGAACACATACACAAAATGGAAATATCTTAAGTTCCCAGGGCCTGAGAGGCTGTGTCCTTGAGAGAGCTGGCTGATGTCACTGTGAGGCTGCTCTCAATTAGCTTTGAAATAGGCTGCTGACTGGGAGATGTTCCTGGAGAATGGATGAGACCAAGCATCTCTTCTATCTTCAAGGGGAGCAAGAAGGAAGGGCTGGAGAACTTCAGGCCTCTGAGCTTCATCTCAGTCTCTGGAAAGGTCATAGAGGAAATCTTCCTGGAATTCATGTGATCTCTGAAAACATGAAGATCAAGGTAATTGTGACCAATCAAAATAGATTTATGGGCAGGAAATCATGCCTAAGTCACCTGATGGCCCTCTACAACAAGGTGACTAGCCTGGTGAATGAACTAGAGAAAGGGACAACATGAATAAGTTAAATTAGGGTTTTCCAAACGGAACATACATTGATTAGAAGGCATCCAACCTGTACAGAACATATTAGGACTTTAATTACTACTTGTTTTCATTTTTTACTTCATAGTCTATTGGAATCTCAGAATATGCAGAGTTGGAAGGGACCCATCAGGATCATCAAATCCAACTCCTGGCCCTGCACAAGACACAGGACACCCCAAGAATCACTGTGTGCCTGAAATTCCATATTGCCTGGGGCAGTACTCTATATGTTTGAATGTATGATCCATATATATATCCACGTATATCTGAGGCCTATATACACGGATCATGTATATTTATTGCTCCCAAACTACCTGATCGCAAGATTAATTCTTTCTTCAGCTCTGAATGCTGTGTGGTTCTGCAATGCTTGGGGATGTGATGTGAATGAATCTATTGCTACTATTATTATAGCAGTTTGGAACCATAGAATGGCATATTTGGATTATTTTTGTAGCCCTTACATTTGACAGCTATTTTACAGAAATGAGAAGGTAGTAGTCCCATATCCAGAGAACTGCAGATGGTAAGCAAAAAATCAGAGAAACAGAACAGCGCAGCTAGGAGGAAGCTTATTTTTCAAAAATAATATGGTTGCAACTGTTACTACTTTGCTTTGCTTGTAATACAAAAGAAACCTTGCTTAAGTATATGTAACAAGTGCTGAGGCGAGATTGTAATAACATTTAAAGATCAGGGTCATGTCAAAGTTAAAACTTGGAAAATAACAGAAAACATGTTTCAATGTAAATGATACTTGCAAAAGACATACTAAGTGGTTTAACACTCCAGACAGAGTATTAAACAGGGCTTGGAATGTTGGGAAAAGAAGGCTAAGATCGGAAAGAAAGAACTCCAGGTGGATTTGGTGAAATCACAGTAGATTTAAGGAATGTGGATGGGGGACCACACATGCAGGTAATTTTGGTTTACAGGTATGTTGGAAGGAGGAGGCATGAGGCATGCTCAGAGTGCAGGAAAACAAAGAATTGTTAGCTTCGCTTAAACAGGAAGATTTTTAAATACTACATAAAAGAAACAAAGAACTGGACTAGCTTTCTCTGACGTATCACTACAATGGTGGCATGCCCATGGGAAACTAAGCTTCTGTAGTAGTGGATTTACACACGTTTCCAGTAGTTTTAGAAACATTAACCAGCATGCTGCAAAGGAAAATTTTAACTTCATTCCAGTGCTAACAGCGAAGTCCATATCACAATCAAGATCATATCACAGTTCTGAGAGATATTATTTCCTCAGATTTCTTCTAAGTGGGAAGGGCCAGCTTTGATGTGCCACCACCACGTCATCAGAGGGCAAGAGCCAAAGCCAGGTGGAATTCGAACCATGCCGGGTTCGCCAGTAAAATCACTTCCTTGACTAAGGCCTGGATATTCCTGTTGTCCCTTTATACGATTCCACTGGGTGGAAGGGCAAGAGGGAGAAGGAAGGCAGGAATGGCAAGAGTGAGAAGGAGGATTAAGAAATCAGTTTGCCTCATCCCTAAATCTAAGTTATAGAGCAATGAAATCATAGGATGCTTTGGGTTGTGAGGGACCTTAAAGATCATCCAGTTCCACCCCCGCTGCTCTGGACAGGGACACTTTGCACCAGATCAGGCCGCTTAGAGACCCGCCAACCGGGCCTTGAGTAACCTCTCCGTGAGTCCTACGGGAACTCTTGCCCCGCTCAGGGCTCCAGCCACCGCCTCTGGGCTTCACCCCACACGCCGCTCCCCCCGCCCTTACACAGTCTTCACCGCCCCCGCCATCACCACTGTGCCGCAGGGCGCACCGGGACTTGTAGTCCTCGCTGGCGGGGATTGTCCTTCCGCTGCGACAGCTGAGGAGGAAGACAAACTACAGATCCCAGCATGCCCCGCGCACCCCCCGCGCCAGCGCGATGCTCCGCGAGCGCCGCCCCGCTTGGCCGCCGCCTCCTCGGCGGCGGGAGGAGGAGCAGGAGCGGGAGCGGGGCCGGCGGCCCGGCCCGGGTCCTGCCGGCTGCCCCCGGCCGCGCCATGTGGCAGAGCGTCGGGCTGACCCTGCTGGTGATCGTGGCCACGCTGGCCTGCGTGCTGCTGTTCATGCTGTGCGGTGAGTGCCGGGCTGCGGGCGGCGGCTGCCGGCCCGGCTGCGGCGGGCGGTGCTGGTGCCCCCCGACCGCCCTCGCAGCGCCGCGGCGGGCTCGCAATCTGTGCTGGTTCCTCTCGGCTCGGATTGACTGCGGGAAGGAAAAGGGCACCGTGCCCGGCCTGTGGGGGAGCGTGTGTGCTGTGCAGCGCCCTCTTCTCTTTGTTCCCGAGTCGTTTCCAGCCTTGAGGTGCTCCCAGAGCCTTACTTCGGTGTTTAATTCGCTGTTTCCTCTGGAAATGAGGGCTTTTTTAGTGATGGGGCTCACTAAAAAAAAGCCGTCACCCTGTGCGGCATCTACATGCATGGGTCTGAAATGCCAGTGAGCGCAGGAAGTAAACTTGGGACTGGCATCCCTCACATCTGTTTGCTAGAATTGGCTGAAGACAGCTCTTAGGAGGCTTTTTCTTACGTGGATGGAGAGGGGGAGGCTCAGGGGAGATCTCCTCGCCCTCTCCAACCACCTGACATGAGGCTCTAGTGAGGTCCATCTGCTGTGCATGCAGTGAGAGGCCCAGGGGAAATGGCCTTAAACTGAGACAGGGGAGATTCAGAGTAGATATTAGAAAATGTTTTTTCACTGTTAGGTTGTCGGGGACTGAAGCAGGTTGCCCAGGGAGGTGGTGGAGTCACCATCCCTGAAGGTGTTCAAGAGGTGTCTGGAAGTGGCTTAGTGATTTAGGGGTTACAGTGGCAATGTTGGGTGAATGGTTGGACTGGATGATCTTAAAGAGTTTCTTCCAAGCTTGATGATTCATCCAAGGCTGGTTTTTTTTTTTTAATTCTTTTTTTTTTTTTTTTTTTTTTAATACACAGTGAGAAGGGTTATTTCAATGGAAGGAATGACTTGCAGGTCTTTTGGGAGTTCCTGGAAGGAATCAGCAGTACAGTGTGTGAATGTTGTGGCCAATATGCAGAACTTGCGGCTCTCAAAACAAACAAACAAAAACCACACCAGCAAATTCAAGCTATGCCATAATAGGTGATGAGAGGCTTGTGAGACTTATAACCACTTATAAACCTACCTGGCACCTTGGTGACAGGTGTGTTTACAAGGGGTTTCTGAAAAAATGAGGGAGCAAAGTGGAGACTGATGTTTAATAGTTTAAAAACTGCTAATTGTTGACAAAATGACAAAGCATTGTGGAAAAATTTGCATTATCAAGGGACTGGATGATAATATAGGAAGTGAAGTCCAGTATTAACGTGTATTAAGTAAGGCATGTAGAAACTGTGAAATGTTTACACATGTAATTTGTGTGGAGAAATATAATGGAACCAAACTGAGCTGCTATTATCCCAAAGAAAGGATTAGCTGAAGTAATTGCAAGCATTTCTCCAAAATATCTCTGTAATCCTTTGTAGCTACCAAACAGGCTATCAAACTTCAGAAGCCTGAAATAGAAGAGAAAATGTCATTATGCTGCTATAGGAATCATCCATGTGCCTGTGTCTCACACAGTGTGTTTTCTTGTTAAAGTGTATTACCTCATTAAAAAAATGAAATCCTAGCTTCTTTTTGAAAAGATAGGGTTTCCATAGCAATTCTTTGTTGGAGCTGTGAAATTATTTCTGCATGAAGAAGCTCTAAACAGGTTAGATCTGTCAAGCCTGGAAGATAGGTGACTGGAGAAGGGGTGATGGTATACCACTGACTAGCAAGTCAAAAGTGAAGTGAGAGTGTTCTGAAATGTCATCATTGCAGAGGAGTTGGAGTACATGAAGTTAAATGGTCAAGCAACAGGCTGAAAACAAAAAAAAATTCTTTTACACTATGGGAAAATAATTTGCAAGCTCGTTAATAAGGAATATTTTGGATGCTGAAACTTCTGGCATTTAAATTCCTGGAAGAGAGGTCAATGTCTTGGTCGTGATCTTGGGTGAAGAAATCTGTGAAATGCTGATAACTGGAACTGCAAGGCTGTACTTCACTTGGTCTCGTGCTCTTTTCCTGCATGTCCTGCACTGTCTGTTGTTACAGACTAAGCAGTGACCTGAGCAGATATTTATTCATGTTTCTCTACCCTCCTAAGGTGTTGACTGGCCACTTTTCAACTGTTAGAAGATGCAGCATGGTAATTGCTAGGGCTTTTATATAGAAGTATGAATACAAGATCTTTGTTTACTATCTTGCTGAAAGTGTAATACAATTGTGAAACCACTGTTCAAACTCAGAAACAAGCATCGTTTTCCTCAGGCCCTTCTGCCTTTGTCTGTATATGACAAATGGAATTGGAATGCTAAGCATTAACTTTGGCTGATAACACAATCATTTGCCTAGTGATTTCTTGGTTAAAGAAAGCAGAAGTAATGACTAACTTTAGGTGGCTTGTAAATACTTAGCTTGTTTGGAGTTACATATTGTACATTCATCTTAAATTCCATAAATATGTTGCTTTGAATCTTTCATTGTATTTTACTTTAATCAGTGTCAGACTTTATAAAATGATTGCTAAAAGTCACCTAGATTTCAGGTGTACTGAACACAGGAAGCTGACACATTAATTGGGTTTTTTGGCGAGGGATTTGAACTATTACCGTGCTAGAAGTGATTCAGTGGGATTTGATAGTGATTTATAGTATTTGTAATTATTTTTTCATCACTCAGCATTTATTAATTAATTAATATTGGTTATACCACTTAACTAATCTTGCACAGAAAATATTCAAGGAAAACAGTGTCAAGAACACTATTGAAAAAAAAAAAAAAGAGTACTTTGAACTTAATTGTTTATCTGTGCTAGTGACAGGCAGTTTCCCTGGGAAGGCTGGAAAAAGTAGTGACATCCAGGTGAGAAGGTGGCAGAGAAACTGCCTAAGTGCTGTGTGGGACAGGATGTGAGCAAAAGCCAGCCAGTGAGACATACGAATTAATGGACAAATCTGACACAGGAAGGGCTGGATATAATCTGGAGTAAGCCTGATCTGATGATGAGAATATTTTCCAGCAATCTGACAAGACGTGTTGAAACAGCCTTGAGAGAAAGGGTCAAGAGTGTAAAGAGCTGGGACTTGGATTTGAATGGCTCATAAAAGAACTCATGGTGTGATTGCCTGTAGAGAGTAATAAACCTAAATATCCAGGATCATGTGGATTTCTGCTGTACCTCCACATATAATGTGATAAGGGCAATTAAACAATGAGTAAAACATTCACTTAACCTTTTTTTTTCAACATGAGAAGACAAAATTCAGAGCACAAATTATCAGAAGTTATTTTGACTGGTTCTTCAGCAATGTGAATTAGGCATTTATGTCTATAAATGTACTTTGAATAAATGGCCCGATTTCCTTCTCTTTAAAACATGTCTGAATGCTGGCAACTGCTACTTTCAGTGTTAATCTGAATTAGTTGAGAAGCACGAGAGGCTTGCAGCTAGCATTTGTAAACTGATCACATCTGACACAGAAACCACTGAGGTACTGTAAACACAGCAAATTTTCAGTTGCTCTTTTAAAAGTGGAACTAAGATAACTTGATCCCGCTTCTTTTATTCCCACCTTTTCTGATTTTCTTTTTCTGGTGGTCTTATTGCTGCTTTTCCGTATTCCATGTACCTCTGAGATGGGAGGAACTTTGGCATAGTCAAGGATATAGGATAAAATAAAATACCAGCCAAGGTGAACTCTAGTACTGCTTACCTCTGTGTATTTTTTCTGTTTTCCCAGTGTAGCAATGCATGAAACCAAGTGAAATTGCCAAAGTGCCTTCACTGGAACAGATGGAAGCATTCATCTCATTTGTCAAAAGAGGCTAATGAAATGCGGATTGAGACATACAACCTTAAAATAAAAATCATGTAACTCTAAGTGCTGAAATGAATGAGTAGTTCACTTCAGAAGTATGAATTCAGTTGCAGATGGGAAAACATTTCAGCCCTAAATTCTGCCTGCATAACTTTTCTTTAATGCTTTGCTACACACACAACAGTTTGTTAACTATCTTCAAGGAGTGATTCTTGGGAAATACCTTAACAGATGAGGAAAGTCATGCTTGATTAGACCACTCGTAAAGAGAAAATATCCTTTAATTTCAAGTTGAGTTTTCAAACAGTTGTAAATGGCAGATGAGAAGAGAGCAAATTTCCTTTTGCTCAATCAGCAAGGGCTAGTGTTGCATTAAGTGGGAGCAGGTTTATGGAGCTGTGCAGAGCCAAGCACCGTGTCACCTGATGTCCTCTGTTATCCCAGTGTCAGAGTAGTGCTTCCTTCAGGCTGATCCTCTCCATAGCAAAACTGTCCGCTAGGGCAGTGTACTAGAGCTGCACTGTTTCAGAGATGTGCATGAAGTGACTTGTGCATGGTTGCAGGAGTTATCTAACAGAGCTCAGAGAAGAGCCCTGTTCTCCCAAATCTCAGGTTAGCATCTCAGGCTCCATGCTCTTTTTTTTTCTTTTTTCTTTTTTTTTTTCTTTTTGCAGCTGTAGCTGTTTAGGATTTTCTGCGATGGATACTTCAGCATTTGAATATTGGCAACATTCACCATGGTGATACCCCAGTTTTAAATTAGTACCCATGTTCTGGCATGATAGGATCCTATTTTCAAATCAGTAGGGACAAAGAAGTAAAATGATCTTGCAAAACTACACAGGAATTCCACAGCAGGGTCAGAACTGGAAGCTCAGTCTTCTCTGTGCTGTTACTGCAGTTACTGCATCACCATCCTGCGTTTCTTGGTTTCATTTCTATTTCACATAAGAAAGATCAAGTTGCTTTTATTCAGAGCTCCATATTACCCATGGGGTTTTTCTTTTGTTTGCTTCTCCTGATTCAAACGGAAGAGGAAAATGTGCTCCAATAAAGAAAACTCAGCTGTTGCATACAAGCCAGTGAAAGGTGAATGAAGTAGATGGGCCTGAGACTTGTTATCCCTCACTTTTGGAGTGGGAGTAACTTTGTAGTTGGATCACTGTTTCTTTCTCCTTTACAAAGAACCAGGAGCTGATGTGGGAAGTAACAGAAAAAGCAGTTTTGATGAAGTTTAGTCAAACCATAAAATCTGTTTAACATCTGAATTGCATGGATGTTACCTACATCCTCTGTGAGTTAGTCAAAAGCTTTGACTCACAGTCCCACCTTCACAAACACATTGCATTGTGATTTATTAGAGGGGGGTTGACATACTGATGGCACACTACCAGATGTGTCTTTGCATGGCATCTGGCTGTGGCATTTTTAATTGAGGTGGTGGCACCCAGCTTTTAATGAGTGCTAAACTCTGCAAGGCTGGGTGCTGCTGTTTTGCCTAGCTGCTGGTAGCTTAGATTTTGTAACACTGGATTCAGGTATGTGCTACATCAAGAGCTGGATCCCCTGCTTTGCACTGTGCTGATGTATGTTTGATCTGGCTTGCTGCTTTGAGAGGCAACTTCTTTCACCAGTTAGTGTAGAAATACTATGTGTTATAGTCTGCATGTCATCACTGCTTGTTTGCTGAAGGCAGGTTGTGGGTGTGCTGGTTGGCTTCCACAGGCTCAGTCAAGCTAAGGATGATTTTAAAAGGTAAATCAATTAGCTAAAGAAAATAAAGCAAGCACTGAAGGAGTGATTCTAATCAAATGTTTTGTGTGTGGTGAAGCTGAATCAGTAGGACTTCTTTGAGAGCAGCTTACCTGAACAGAGTGGAAGTGTTAGAGGTGCAAACCAATGGTGTCACTTACGTGTCCAGGAAGAGCTCTACAGCAAAAAGCCCACAAAGCTAAACTGAGCCACATACAGAAAGGAATGCCTTGAGATGCTCATTTTCCTTTTCTTGTGTGTGTATTTTAAATTAGTTTACAATTATTTTCTTTTTTTAAACACAATTATGTAACTTGGAGTTCTTCAGTATGGCACAGTGACTGGTGTTACCATTTTGCAATGTTCTTTAGAGAATGAATCAGAAGACAATGCATTTTCTATTAATTTCTCAGAGACAATGTGAATCTGCCTCCAGGCTTTGTGTCTGTGTGGTTTTGTTTAATGATGTATTTAGCTGATATTGTTCTGGAGAGATTTTTTTCTATAGCCAGAATAACTTATTCTTTAGTAGTCTGGTTATTTCCAAGGAAATTCTTATTTATTTAGGGTCAGGGAGGCTCAGCTGAAGAGGGAGATCCAAACTTGATTTGTACAAGTGTGTTTGTTGTGGGGATTTTTTTTTTTAACCTTTCCATCCAAACTGGGAACTAGAGCAAGTGAAAGAAATCTTTCTACTTTGATTACTTTATACCTAAAGGTTTCTGGTACAGGCTCGGAGACCTTGTGAGGTTTTTTGTTCTGGTTTTCAAGCCTGGTTGCCCTCCCACTAATGCCTTTGGCTTAGCCTTTTGTGATTTTCTTTTCAACCTGCTGTGATGTGGTTTGTTTCACCTGCCTGTTACCTCTGGTCTGTTTGTTTGCCTGCTAGAACCAGTTCCCTTGGCTGGTTATTTACACTGTCTTGTTTGTAGTCTGAGGCTAGAGAGCTCCAAAATCTTGTTTATGGTACTTGGGGTTTTGGATACTTAGACCATTCTGCTCTGCTCTCTAACTCAGACCAAACACTGAAAAGAAATTAGTGCTGTTTTTCTTGAGAGTGCAAATGAATTTCCTATGTTCTTTAGTATTTCCCCAAAACACACCCCATAGTAATTCTGGGTGTTAAGTAACCTGTTTGCAGGGATAGAGGAAGCATGTAGTTCACTTTATTTAGCTTAAGTTAAAATACCTCCTTTAATGGAATATCTGTTAACACCAAATATACTCAAGTCATGCGTAAAGTGCCCTAAAACCCTTCTGGGAATGCCCTGAATATTTTTGCCTCCTCCTCCTCCCTCTCCTCTTTCAACGGAAGCAACCTTCAAAGAGCTGCTAGCTCAATTTTTACTTCTAGTTCTGAAAGAAAAGAGAAGCCAAACCGAGCCATCTACCATCAGTTTTTTTTTTCTAGGTGCAAGGGAATGTTATACATTTGTGGGACAGCAGATTCGATTTAATCACAAGTCATTTAAGGGGTTAGGTATTCATGGGAAAGGAAATATTGTGTAGGCTCTAGGAATTAATTTAGATCATAAAAGGTTTTCATATAGAAGCTTTTCTTCAATTTCCTCAGGACTAGAGAAGTTACTGAAATTAAAAAACCGCGGGATGTAAAAAGTATTCCAGGAAGGAGGAGAAGGGTGGGATCTTGTTTTTGGCATAAGGAATGGATTGCCTGTATTGACTGTGATTATAGAAGAGGAAGAAATACAGAGGTGCTGTGGTTATATAAGTGTTATTTATTTATTAGTTAGTTGGTAGTCTTTCTCCCCCCTTTCTACTGTGTCCTGTTATCCATTCCCAGAAGTCTGCTACTGCTGGAAGCTGTGTAATTGGGAGGACAGTTTTCCCTAGCTCTGTAAAACAGGGCTCTATATATCTGAATAGGTCAGCAGTATAGGCTTAAATAGCTGGCAAGACTTTCTGAACAGAAAATGGGAATATTAAATATATAGCTCTGTGCAGGCAGATGGGTGGTGGTGTTGCAAACGATGTTTGTATAGCATTTATTTTCAATGAGCTGTTTAAATTTTGCTCCACTTAGCTGTATTTCACAGAGAAGTTGTATTCCTATTCAGTGGGTTCTTTTAAAATGAAGATTCTGGCTTAGGTTTAGATATATTTATATCTGCTTTTTCAAGATTTTTTTCGCTACCGGTTACAAAAACACTTAGACAAGACAGAGGAGGAGGAGCAGGTGGATCTTAAGTATTTTTTAAGATAGATTCTAGAAATGTGGCCATTTCAGCTCTTTACTTGCATAATTTTGGGACCTAGAGTATTTTAGTGGTGGAGCAGAACATAGATGTACTGCAGAATGTTAATTTTACTTAGTGGGATTTAGGCACGGTGAGGGATCTCATTGAATTTGGGGGATGTGGTCTTTCGGTGAACATAAGGAAGACCTTGTCCATTTCAGAATAGGATTTACTATAAAATATGATATTAATTTGAGGCTCTGAGTAAGTGTGCTTAATATTGATTATGTAATGCAACTTTTAAAATGTGATTTCCAGAATGGAATGTTTGCTGGGTGAGGGGAAAAATTGTAGTGCTTTCACAGACCCTGTGTAATGAATCCTGAGTCCTTGTTTGAGATATAACCACAGGACTTATTTTTTTCCTGACAATTAAGACCTTTATTTGTGTGATGGTGATCACCCACCTGCTTGCTGTGGCAGTTCAGTTTGGAATGTGTAGGGCTTTTCCTGGAGCTTAAATGTTGCTTCTGGATGAGGATGAACTTGACGAAGTTGAATTGGTTTTTACAGGACTGTAAAAAGGAGTGTATGTGCTGTGGAGGGCTGTTGGGGTTGGCAAATAGAGGATGGGAGCTGATCAATTTTTTTTTCCTTTTGGTGATACACTTTGCCAGTGAGCTGACTATCAATTTGTATGAAGTAACTAAGCAGTATCTCTTTTCTCCCTCCTGCAGGATGGTATGTGGTCTGGCAATTGTTCCTGTCTAAATTCAAATTCCTGAGAGAATTGATAGGTGATACAGGGTCCCAGCAGGGAGACAACGAGCCTTCAGAAGCTGAAACTGAACAGGAAACTCCGCCCTCGCCTCAGAGAGGGAGACAGAAATCGGCTCGGCAGCGAAGGGCACCTACGGAAGACACGACTTAAAGTACCCATTGAACTTCTGCGTAAACTGTGAAACCTTCTGCACTGGGTCCTTCAGTGGTGTGACCTCACTGAGAAACTGACCTGAGGTACCATTGATCCCTGTGGACCTTTACTTCTGAGCTACCAATGGATGATGCTCCTGCAGTAGAGGTTCGGGGAGGGCTTCAGCAGCAAGTCACAGAGTACTGGAAGAAGGGAGGGGCAGAGAGAAATCTCCATCACAAAAGTGCTGAGCTCCTGTATCTCTGGTCTCAGGTCTCAGCACGCAGATGAAGAACAGGTCCTGGACCATAGGCTTAGCCTTTGCATTAGTCTGAACATAGTAAATATTTCAGACTTAAAATAGTTTATAAATTATTTTTTCTTTACAGCACTGTAACTACATATAATGAAATTGAGTTTTATTTCCTTAGCTGTATTTGAATATATATATTTTTTCAACCTTGAGAAAGCATGTGAACTAAAAAATCAGTTGAAAGAATATCCTGCTTTAGAATGTATTCTAAAGTGAGATTTTAGTTAAGTTCTTGTATATATAAAAAGTATAAATGAAATATGAAAAACTCTATTAGGTGCACTTGATTTGGAGGTTTTTATTATCTCCTCTTTTTTAAAAAAGAAGGAGATGCAAAGAAAGCAATTGGATAACAAGACCTTTTTTCTTGATTTTGGTATATAAGAAGGATTATAGTTTAAACAGTCCTGCTAGGCTTCTGAATGTTTTTCCTGAACCTTACTCCAAGTCCAACCTGTGCTGAAGACGGGAAGGTGTCTGGGTTATGCACTGCTCACTGTTTAATATTCTGAAGTGTCATCTTTGGTATTTGGATAATGAGCCCTTCTCTTAGCTCTCCTTGTACACCTTAACGTCAGGTGTTTGGTATCTAACCTAACTTTTTTTCCTAGAAGCAGTTAAGGCTCTCTTAGCAGTTTGTCAGACATTGCTGGGACACTCTGACAGTGTTCCAGCAGGGAATTCGATACCTCATGTTTGCTGGAGGACTTACAGATTTTTACCAGTAATCAGCAGTTGCTCCTGTTTTCTCTGAGGATGAGTTCTACAGCTGTTTTGACATTGCACTTCACAATGAAGTGCTCCACTTCTGTTTATCTAGGAACTCTGAAGATTGATGCATGAGATTTTGTAAAGATGAGGAGCATGCATGTAACCACCTCTGTGTATGAGAGAGAGCTACCAACAGGTCTCATCTTGAACAGCTTCAGTTTTCTCTCAAAGTTTGGATATGTGGTAGTGTTTGGATCATTGTTCCGTGTATAAAAACTTAATCAGGACTTTAAAATTGATCTTGTATTTTTAGCTGTTAAGAAGTTTAAACCTGTGGCTTCCAAATTGTGGTTTGGATCAGTTATATGGCTGAAAGCAGCAGCATTTAGGTTTTTCATCAAGTAGGCCTACATCTGGGAAAAGAGCACTCTGTTAGTGCCTTTATGTTTTAATTTGTCAGTTTTGGATAGTGATCAAAATCCAGTGAGGGGCATTCACTTCTTAAAATCATTTAGATGTTTCAGTATTAAAATATGTAAGACAGATCAGCCCTGACTTTCCTTTGGAGTCTAAAAGACCGTTTCATTTGCTAGCATGTATATATTAAGCATAAGGTTATGTTTTGAAGCATGATTAGGCAGTGCTATGCACATATCGTGTAAACATGTTGAAATACTGATTGTTTCCTCCTCTGTCTTTCGTGCTGGCAAGGGAATGTCTAATGATGGTTGATTGTTTTTTCTTTTCTTTTTTTCCCCTTTAATTAGTAAACTTCCCATTTATTCAAACTGAGCAGAAGCAATCAGATTCTATTCCCTGCTGCTTCCAGTTTGCCTCACATAACTTAATGTCACAATTTTCTAGTGTGCTTATGTCTTGTCACATGGTGAGACTTCCAGTCTAGCAGTGCTAATCAAATACTGGGACATTTTTCCTAAGAAATTAGCATCTTTGTCTTAAGCTTTGCTAATACAGCTTACAAATAAACTTGCTCTGTACTGACATAGGATATTGACACTCCACTGCACTTCACTTTATCTAGACTTTAGTGTACAGAAGACAGCAAAAGGCTGATGTCTGTAGTGTCCCTGGCAAAGAAACAGTAACTTAGTTCCTGCTTCTAGGAGCTGTGAAGAAATGTGAAATTATGGCAATATATATGGCTAGTTTAGGGTAGCTCTGAAGGTGCAACAATCAAGACTCTGGAGCAAGATAATGAAGGAGAAATCCGTATGGGTTTGAATGAGGACACTGATCAAATATGCAATAAGATGGACATGAAACCTCTGGATAGCTCATCTGCTCTAGCCAAACAATTTCCTTCTCCCTTCCATGCCATCTGTAGGTGTACATTTCACTCCCCAAGTTATTTTCAGTCTCTTTTTTTTCTTAAACAGCTGATGCTATTTTTTTAATGTTGTGACATTGCTGCCAATAATGCTGTCTCCCTAGTGTGTAGCTTTAATGATCTTACTAGTAGCAGGCCAAAGGTATATATTATAAAGTGGTTTGGAAGAATTTTGAAATGCTAATGTGTTCTGTCAATGCTTAATTTTTCTTGAAGAAAACTGTAGTGAAATCTTTGTATGGGGCACTTGATGCAAACGTGTAAGAGCGAAGCTGCGTGTGTGGGACATGTGCTTGTGATAAGACCTGGGTTGTGATTGCTGGCAGTCCAATATACTCATGTCTTCAGATGTTCTTACCAATGTCCTTCCGAAACGTTATGGTAGGTAAGCACTTAACTTTGAACTCACCCATCCAAGTCTGAAACCTTATGAAGGCAACAAACAGGTTGGTCTTGTTTTGTTTAGTGGGATCTATTTTTAAAACGATTGCCTTATTGTTGCAGCCGTTATCTTGAATGTATTTTGGGTTCTTATTTTAAATACAGTCATATCATCTTTGTTGCAGGGGCTGTGTAACTTTGAATAAGCAGTAATTTCCTGTGTTGTATGTCACAGTGTTGCAATTTGTGATCACATTGCTGCTTAATATCAGGTTTTACACTGAACTAGACCTGTGTATGTCCTTCTGTTTCATTTGGAAATGACCAGCATAAAGAATGTGTTCAGTGTGGTCATTTGCTTCTTCAGTGTTACAAAACTGTACCTAAAGCTTCTGTGGTTGTCTGTTTTCATCATTACTGTTCTTTTAACTGACTGCACAGATAAAAAATAAAATAACCCGTCTTGATATGAATGTTTGATCTCAGTGATTTTCTGATTACATTTTTGAGTGGATTTTGTCTGTAGAATTAGACTGCTTGTTTGAGTGTGAAGCACTACAAAAGAGGACTTGTCAAAAGTCACATTCTAGCTGGTGTAACACCTGCAGATGACTTCATTGTAGTGGGCAGGTTTGTGTATATCTTTTAGAGTAGTTGTTAGTAAATGTGGTTTTTCTGCCTTATACCTTCAAAGCTGTAATTTCATTTTAGCAACTAAAAAACTCAAAACAAACAACAAACCCCCCCAAAAAATCAAGCCACCTCCCCACTCTGCTTTTTTTGATCTTTCTAAGACTGGTTGTAGACTCTAGTTTTTCTAATGTAAGTGTCTTGATGAAGTAGGAAGTTCTTATTTTGGAAATGAAGATGTACAGGAGAAGGAAGTGAAAACATGCTTCATCCTTTACTGCTTCTGTTGTATCCTGGGTTATTTTATTTAACAATGCAACATTAAAAGATTCTGAAGGAAAATCTGAAATATCATGAGAGAACAAACTGTTCTGCAGTTGTTCTACTCTTCTTACTTTTAAAAACGGGCTACTAACGGAGTACTGCAAAATGTCTTGGTGTTATGTGACTTGAGCACCTGGGTCTTTTCAGCTTGGGAAGTTGGATTTGTATGTGGTGGTTTGTGTTGGGGGCTAGTATAAGTGAGAACAATCAGTGAAGGGCAACTGGTGTCAAGTGCACATGAAACACATGGTTGCTTTTCTGCTTTGGTGCTGATCCCAAAGAACTCCTTTGTGGCCCATTCCAATGGGATGAATGAAGGTGCCATTGAATAAGTTTGCCTCAGGTTCCACCAAAAGCTGTTTTAACTTGTACTATGGGTGCTCGTGTGCTGTCAGGGGTCTCCTGTGGCCTTGGGTCTATGTAATTAAAATACACAATCTTTATAAAATATAAGCAGTGTTACATCTTGTTTGGGTTTTGCTTTCATGAACATTTTTTTTCTGTGATCAGACTGGAAGTTGGCAGTGTCAATATGCTGAGTTTTACGTTAAATGTTAAGGACATGAATATTGTTGTGTTCTTCATGTCGACCAGAAGCTCTTATGTTTTGATCATCTGTGGGTGTTTATAATCACCGTGTTATCTCTGAAAGTTGGATGGAAGGGAGACACTTTGGCACTGTTTCACAGCGCCTGGGAGAAGGCTCTCATCTGGTGTGGGGCTAGTATTCATATCTAGCAGTGTTGGACTCCACTTCAGGAATTATTTTCACAAAGGGGGACAATGTGATCCAGTACATCTTGGGCTTTATTTTCCGTGTTTCTATTCACAGGGCTGTTCAGTTACCACAGCAGGAAATGAATAGCACAAATGTTCCTTTAACTTTGGTAGCCAAGAGACTCTAATATGTAGGGAAAGATGGGGTAGGGCCATAATGTGGCCACTCTGGTCACTGTCCAAGTATAGAACACATAACCTACTAATTGTGGTGTACCTGTCTCTGCTGGCTTGTTTTGTGTCACTGCCCCTGTGACTCGTCCCAAATGCTGGCAGTGTACTTGAACTGAGAAGGGTAAGAAGATGTGGAATTTGCGCCCTGAGAGATAGTTGCCTGTAAATCTTTCGCCCTGGGTCTGAGTGTGCTGAACAATTCAGGCAGCTAACTTCGGTCCACAGTCCATTAAAACATCCAGCCTTCTATGCAGGTAACAGTCAAGTTTCAAAATGAGAAGTTACATGTAACCTGTGTCTTCCTCAGAATGCTACAAAGGAGAATACCTTGCTCTATGTCATGTCAATTTCCTCTCCTCTGCACTAGAGTATTTTATCATCTTTTTTGGGGA